ATTGTAGAAAGATTATTTGAACCACCCTCTCAGTCATGGTCTATGGACTATGCAAATTTTGCTTAGTTTGCATATAAAAATAAAAATATGTGGTATGATTGCCAATGAGACAACTCTCCACAAGAGACCAAATGACACAGAAATTAACAACTATAGGTCACTGTACGGCCTTCAATAATGAGTAAAACCCATACCGCATAGTCAGCTATAAAAGGCCCCGAAATGACAAATTTAAAATAAACGAGAAAATTAACGGTCTGGTTTATGCACAAAATAATGAACGAAAAACAAAATATGATATACAGCAAAATGACAACCACTGAAATACAGGCTCCTGACTTCGGACAGGCACATACAGAATGTGGCGGGGTTCATCTAGTTTGAAAGCGCGCCAAACCTCCCCTAACCTGGGACAGTGGTGTAACAGTACAACATAAGAACAAACTATAAAAGTCAGTTGAAAAGGTTTAACGTATCAGATCGATACAAAGCAGAAACACATCTAACAAAAACACAGTGGACGTGGCAGGGTACATGTATATATTAGTTTGTGATTATGTCAGTTTATGGGGAACCACTGCACGGTGGTATATATGTCAATGGTCTTTGGTCTGCAGTTGTAGTAGCATTGGAACATCTCATTTCCATGGAGATTATTTGGCCCTGCACCTCCAGTCATGGTTGCCATATTGCCATTTTGATTTCAACATTTGCATTTTACTATCAAAATTACCAAAAACGAGACATATCTCTGTGTGAACAGTTTATTACATATTCAGAACTGGACCTTTCTTTGGTTAGAATATGACATAAAGATTGTTAACCTAAGAATATTACATTTACCAAAAAATATGTAAGCACCTCAATTTCCAAAGCAGATATGTTAGAAGCAATAGGGGTTAAAACAAGCACGAATCCTTATACTCTGTAAAAAAAAAACACGAAGGTAAGGTGTGCATGTATTTCAGACCATTGGTCCATCATAAAACAAAGGAATAATGATTCGTCGGTCGTTTCTTTAAACTGTATTAAAAAAAATGCATATATTGTTACTACAGTTACATTGAACATATTACATTATAATAAATAATTAATTAGATAATTATGGTTATTCTGGGGGATGACATTTTAATGTCTTTTGTGGAATACATTATATTTTCTTGTCAACTAATTAATTTAATACTGAAACAGGTGTTGGTTTTCTGAAGAATTCATGAGATCCAAAACACCTTTAGTAATTATTCATTACCGCATAAAAATGTTTGTGTAAATGTTGTACATGGAAGCCGACTTATACAAAACTATATATAATAAATCATTTTAACAAAACCGTAGTGTGCATAACTTCTAAAACAGGCAGATAAAAGCAAGATTTGCTTAGTGTATAGAATATGAACACATACGCAAGAAGTGGTCAAATAATTCAAAGCAATTGCAAATTATATTTGCACTATACTAGTGCAATTATCAATAGTAAAAAGAAGGTTGAGATCTTCAATAAAAAACTCGTCCTAAACATGCATGAAATATTTGCCACTGGAAGTTAAGCAACCAACAATCAATCTTAAGAAAAAACAATATTTAACTCCGCCACATTTTCATTCGCCCAAGTAAGGAACCTTGTAAGCGGCTGTCGTTTATCGTATCTAAATATTTTGGCTTCTTTTATTGTCATTTGAAGAATTTGTTGTCACAGTAATGACGATGCTAATCAGTCTCTGATAAGACGAATACGAGTTTGACGTATTGTTATAGACCTGTTTATTGTTGAACAACGTATATTGAAATGTATATTTTGTGTTTCGTAGTGTTTTATTCTCATTGATGTATACCCAACATCCCTTATTATTCTTATTATAAACTTGGCCCGATCTTTCCACTTACTACTAGTGTTAGTGAATACATCATTTTATAGCGTGACAACTATGATCACGGTCACTGCTCTCGAATAACGTATCATTGTGACTTTCTTTATTGCTTTGCATCTTATTAATGATTCGTAACAATACTTCGACAAAAAAAGCAGAATCCATTGAACCTTTGGTCATCGTCTTTTGGTTGGGAATACATGAAGGAAAATTATACTTTTCAAGCCGTTAATTTTAGTTTTTAATACCCTTTATGTTCCCAATATCAATCTCAGTTCCACTTCGATATTTCAGACACTTCGTTTGTTCCGCTTGTCAACTCCCTTTTAAGAGAAAGCAATCATAAACAATTAATATTAAAAACAAGATTAAATCGGATCAATTGTTGCCATTTTAAGGACAGTATAAATATTATGCAATATTTATCATTCATAATTGGTCTACTTTCATGTATAAAATTTCTTTATTTCTATCCGTCTATCAATTTAATCTAATATAAATTCAATACACTCTTCTGGTTTTTAATTAAAATAAAGTACCTGATATTTTTGCATTAAAGACTTAGTTTGAATAATCAAAATAGCCGTCGATTTCAAACAATTCGGTCTGATTAAAACTCATCAAAATACAAATCTCATATGACAGGTCAAGAATGAATATTTGCAGTCCGAAGTACTATATTGATGTTCACATTTAGCTTCAAACGTTGTCGAAACACACACAAGTATGCTATCCAGTCCGTACTTTTAGTTTTTAATCTAACCATTATTGGTCCTTTAAAAACAGTTCTTTAGATGGAATGTCGGTTCTGCATTTATATACTACATTGATAATTGCTAGAACTATATTTTTTTAATAACGGGCTTTCTGAATATATATAGTCAAATGCGTTTTGTTTAAATCAAGGATTTCTATACAAATCCTTGTTTAAATATACTTTTTCACTTTTTTGGTCTTTTGGAAAATGTTGTTTGTTCTGTATTTAGACCCCTCTACCAAGAAATTTGTTTTGTATGCACACGTATAAAAATTGCGGTTTTTATCCAACGCAATCATAGGTTTGAACATTGTTTCAATTTAGACTTATATATATTCTATATGTATATATATGTTTCGACATTTGATAACTGTTTTCATATACATATATATATATATATACATTTAATGTTTTTTTGAGGTCACAAATCTACCTGAATTTAAAATCATATTTAAAAATGATATCTACTATTTGTTGTTTTTTTGTAATTTAAATATATACATGGAGAGTTGTCTCATTGGAAATCATACCACATCTTCTTATTTTTTATATATTAACATAGAAATAAAGGTTAAATTTATATTTTCCCATAGGGTCTTGATTCATTTTGGGAAAACCAAACATGACCACGATTTACATGTTCACATCACTGTTACAATTTATTGTTACTATATGTTGCCGAGATATATAAATATTATATTTGTAGCAAAACTTGGGTGTGGTAGAAAGTTTAAAAAAAAAAAGGAAAAACAATATATACAGAAATACATGCACTCAACTGCAGGACTACTTAGTTTCAGAAGTATTATAATTCATACTTTTCAAACAAAAATGAATATACATGTACTTTAAACTGCAATTGGTTTAAGAAAAGCAATATATGCAAAATACACGCTCTCACACGTACTTGGTTTCAAAATTATTATACTTTGGTATATTCATTTTAAACAAAAAAGATTATGCGTGAACTTTTAACGTCACTTGAAGCAACTTGCTGCAAACTAGAGTGTGTATAGTTGCAGGCAACATGTAGCTTTACCTTTCTATTTTGAAAATATCTGTCTTTATTTGTATGGATTTGATTGAAATCAATCAAAAACCGTGATATGTGACATCCTAATATATCTATGTCACATGTAACGTTACATAGTTTCTATCTAGCCTGCATTGACAGGTGACGTACTAATATTTGTACAGCTTAGAAAACAAAATAAGGATAAAAAAGTTTAAATCCCCGTAAAATCCTCCCACTAACCTATCTTTACCATAATCTGAATTCGTTCGTATCTGGGATTGGGGCTTTATCCGTGTCATATTGATAACATCTACAATTCAAAGAAAGTTCCACAAAGAAAGGATGTCAAGTAGGTAACTAACCATTGTTCATTTCACTTACGTATATATCTAATCCTAGAGTAGAAAAGCAGTGGCGGTTCAGAGATTTTCGACAAGGGGTATGGCAGGTGTGGGTTGGAGATTCAATTTCCTACCGGAATCAGAATTTTTTTTACTAAAAACGGAATGATTTTGGTCTTGATTTGGACCTGGAAAGTTGCTGTGTGGATTTTCCAAAAGTTAAAGGATTTGGAGCCAACTTGTTTCCCGTTTAATACTTATCTGAGAACAATAAATCTAAATGAATCTAGCATTTCCGACAATTAGGTGATTCAATTATAAGTTTTGGAAAATTAGATTAGCTTATAGATATTAATTTATTTATTAGTGATATCAATTAATCTGTTCGTTAATTTTGTAAGCCCGGTAATCTTATTATGAAAGAAAACCAATGCGACTTTTAATTAATGTTGTTTTAACAATTTCCCCCAGGACATATCAATTAATTCACCCCAAAACGAGTGTGCTAATTGATTTAATTTATAATACATATACAGTGAGAAATGGCAGAAAAACTAGTTCTTAAGTTTGTTTGATCTTGGTATAGAACCTGATCAAAATCAACACTCGGATCTGTTCATTTCGATTTGGTAAAATAAATATTGAAAGAAATTATAATATTTAGAGTAAACAGCCCAAGGAAACAACAATGAAATAGGTATAGATTTACTTAACCTGTACAGAACAGGTGAACTGGAATAAAACACGTCTTTAGTTAAAAAATTACCCAAAATTGTCAATCATTGTATATATAATTAGAATGAAACGTTTTTGTTGTTAAGTCGATGATATTGTTCCGTGAGAAATAGACTTCGTATTCATTTTAATTGTTATTGATGCACATTTGAGGTTTATCATTGTGATCTGAGTCTTTTTCGAGGTTTTGTGCTGATGTTTTGGTTCGACGCCACCGATTGTGATTAGATTTGGCTATATCACCTTAAGTAGTCCAATGAAATCATCCGTTACAACATTAGCCAGGTAAATCTCAGGTGTATAGTAGTTTGAAGATATGCACTGACTATAACGCAGGAAACAATTTATCTCTGGAATACTATAAATTTATTATTTACAATATATATTTGAAACATCCCTGGAATATTTCATATAACTAGTTTTGATTGTTTATTCTTATTGGATATGGCTTGGATTTACAAACCATAGGAAAAGTAAGTTTTTTGTTGATTTTAAATATTAATTCAATTTCTGCAGTTGATGTTGAGAAGTTATGGAACTTTAAAAGCCTGGTATATTTGATGTGTTTTCACTCTTATGATAACAATACAATACTTTTTTACGTGTATTCATTTTACTATTTTAATTTTTAATTGCAAGTTTAATAACCAAATCAGAATGGTAAAATCGTCTTTAGTCATTTTTTTTTCTCACGGAAAAGTATGATGATAAAATGGTAAAGGTAGGATTCTTGCAAGTAAAATATAGATACGAACATTAATATTCAATGTCTTATGGACTTTTTGTTACGCGCGGAATTAATTTTTACAACTTTCATATAAATAAATCATTATACTGAATCTCAATTTAATTAAATTTCTTTAGCTGTATACCCTGTTTTCCAGATTCGCTAATATGAATGGTCTATCACGGAAATGCTATAGTATAGTCTTAATGGGTATCTAATTTGAAATTAACACTTAGAAGGCCACTGACCACTTTATTAAAAACATAAATCAATTTCCTCGGTCATCTAATTCTTACAGATAACATCGGGTAGATAGGAACTTAGTCTAGCAATTTCAGTCCTTTTAAATTTGTGATCAAGTGAAGATCATTTATTAACGAACTTGTAAAACTGTTGATAAATGAGATGAACTGAAATTTTGAATACACATATAAAACTCAGTTGTAGGCGGACGGATCAGTAAGATTGACTGTAACTAATAATCCTTACGTAATTTATCAGATGCAAAACTGTCAAAAGACAAATGCCACAAATGCATGTGTATCTAATACAATATGAATAGGTAAGACAATTTTCCCCTTAATTTATTTCACTCGCAGGATCAAAATCTAAAACATGTAAAATCTTATGGAATTTGAATACTAAAGAATCTATATCGTGTACTCAAAACTAAACATTATTCAAAAACTTTATTCATGTTTTGAATATTGCATCGAAGGGCGTCTCTAACCAAAATGAATGGATTTTTATCTGAAAAACAATATAATACACATGTAGCTTTATTTCTAAAACAATGTTGGTTTTGGTTCATATTATTCTTTTTTATTTATACGTTTTTTTTTTATATAATTACTCAAAATGTAACATAATATGTCAATAATGCGATTTTGTTCTTCAGACATTCATAACATAGTCATTTGTTTAGAATGGAGCTATATGAAACGGTGGGGCTGCATAATTTTATAACTCGCTTTTCTTAATATTGAAGGAGTATATCTATTCTAGGACTATACTAGTATTATAGTCCCAGATATCTATAAGATTCTCCAATGAACAAACACTTCTTAACTTTAAGACCATAAGACCACAAAGAGCTTACGACTATTTTTTAGTCTTTAAATATGTGGTTTTTGTCTAAATTATTGAAATTTACTCCAGGGTTTATTGCTATTGGTTTTGTGATAGTAATTAGTTTTGAAAACAGTTAAAGCACGTTTCCTTTGTTACTTTCCTAGCATTGTATAGGCTAGTTGTGTCGCGTACAAATGTAAATCCAAAATATACCCCCAGTTCCTCCAATCTATATACAATATGATATACCACAATCAGTATACAACTTATATTTAGTATCCGTGGAGACTGCTATTCTATTGACATTACGTTTGTACAGATGGATAAGTTACATTGCACTAGAACATGACACTAGTTTGTCAATAAAAAGTTAAAAAAAAAGACAAACTATTTGCATGAATTCGATGCAAGGTCTCATGTTGCATATTATACGAATAATGAAATATTTGGTGACTCTTCTTTTTAACGATCGCCCTGAATATGCGTGAAATGTTTTCAACTGGACGTTAAGCAAACATCAATCAACCAATCAATATTTTTAATAACAAAGAAGTAACTTATACAAACAACAACAATTCTTAAATAAACCTAACTAAGAAAACGAAAAAAATAAATAAAAATTCCACGATTTTATCATATAAATCAATCAAGAAAAATATTTAGTAAACAGACATTTTAAGACTATTCAGTAAATATTACACTAATTTATTATGTTTATATATGGGGTAAAAATCTTGTTACTTTTTTCGTTTTCTTTGTGATGTTGTTTGTTGGTTTGATGGTTATTGTCTATGGAAAGCGAAACCATACAGTTACCAGCTTCTCTAAAGCCGAATAAATAAAAATAAATAAAACAATTCAAACTTGATCTGTGTTTTGTGGTAATAAGCATTATGTATAAGTTTCACAACATTTGGTTGTAGCAAACTAAAGTTAGAGAACGGAAACCAATTTTGGGACGTACGTACGGACGGACGGACGTACAGACGGACAAGGGTAAAACTTAATGCCCCCTCCGCTACGGCGGGGGCATAAAAAAAAAAACTGAATGCATGTACATCGAGAATCGAAAGCTGGGGAACAAGTTTGGCATACTCTGGTCCAATTGGCTTTATCCGTTTACTAGTTGATTAAACTAAATATTGTGTAATTAATTTGACGTAAGTGGAAACGACCATGCAATACTTAAGTGCATTTTCTACAATGTTTATGGAAAATAAAACATAATTGTTGTTAAAAATAGACTAAACCAGAAAACCCGTGAAACTTAATGCTATAAAAATCAATTATGGTCATTAATGTCAGTAAAGTGGTCGATATGATAAAGCTGTGACCCAACAAGATGACAAACTTTGTGATAGTTAATGTTAATTATATCTGTATACCTTATTCAAGTTCATCAGGTGTGAAAAATGATCTATGTTAGTTCTTTTGTTAAGAAACTGCAGGATTCACTTCCTCGGCCTTTATCATATATATGTACTGTCATCAACAAAACCACACATTTTCTCTTTGATGGAAAACACATTCATTACAAACACGACATTGATTTTGTTTGAAGAAAACATGTTTTAAAAAGAAAAACTAATTTTATGATTTAAAAACAAATATATGTAATCATGGAAATATCAGTAACGATACTGTCGTAAAAGGTAAGCGATTATAGGTTATTATTAAATAACGACACACTTTTCAGTGATTTCCAATGTTCGATATCTTTGACAATATATTTTAACTCTTTGAATTCCCAAATTAAATATATGACTCCAACGATTTCCTTGTGTTTACACATTTCTACAAACTTTTTTTGGGGGGAGGGGGGATTTAAACAGCAACTTATTATTTGTTTCGATACATCTCTACAGAAACAATTTTTTTTCCTTTTCTAATTCTGTTTTATTAACGGGTTTGATGAATTGCTGTGTACAAGTTATAGTACATATAACATTTTCACTAGGACTCCTTTCGTAACAAATCTCCACTTATACCAAAATAATTACATGTTACACTCCAGTGATGAAAAAAGGAAAACGAATAAATTGTGAGCAGGATTTTAAATGATAATTTATCTGTCCTTTCTATCCCTCTTTGATCAGTCTAAGGTGTTGAATCTCTAAATAATCATTTCTGAACAACAACACAATGACGATCCTTTTTCAAAGCGTTATCCAACGGCCATTTTTCAATGTCACACTTTATAAAATGCAAATTAGTTATTTAATTTAGGTGAAATAAATAACATATAACGTATTAAATATTCATACTACTTAATTCATGTCTTTAACTTGCATGTCCTTTAAAAGACATTCTGGAGAGTTTATTTTTCAATTTCCCATGTTTTGATTTATATAATTTCATTCCTCCTCCAATGTGATGTAACTATAGAAAAGAGATTTTGCTATAAAACATATTGACCATGTAGAGTTTAGATAGATGACAGTTCGATATAATGTAACTTGGGCCGAACATCCTGTAGTTTCAGATGCATTATTGGTGTTTTATATTGTTATAGTTCAAAGTTGAATTGGGTATTAAGTCAACTTTAAAAATAAAGTTACCAATGATGAACCTGAGACAATTAGAATGTAAAAAGAAATTTGAATTGTACTTGCATAGTATTGACTAGCAATTTATTTTTGTTCAAAATGTTTATTGCCTATATTTTGAGAAAAAAATATTCAAGAAGGAAAACACAGCAACAATAACAACAACAACACAAACAATAATCCCAAACAAAATTAAACAAACCGTGACACACCAAAAACCGTTATAACGATATACAATGGCTAATTTTTACATGTTTTATTTCCCGTCATGCTAGTTTTGGAAGTATAACTGACTGTTTATTTTTAATTTTTTTTTTGCAGAATGATCTTCGAGATCAGAGCGTGGAGTTGACAAATCAGATGTGGTTGTTATATGTAACTTTTGAGGATTTTATATGTCTATCATATCCAGCAAAATCAGCGGCAGTATTATCAACTCGCGTGGATATAAACCATTATTTCAATACAGGACCATTCTCTGCAAAACGACGTAAATCTAAAAAACGTCACCGCGATAGTCCAGATAAAGCAACCGAAGAAACGTGTGAAGAAAATAGACACAAACATAATCTTGGTGATGAACATCTGAATCAAAACGAGTTGGGACTTCGCATTGGAGAGGTTATCTGTGTGCATCAAATCGCTAGAAAACGTCGCCTCGGTAGATCGGTCTCGGACAATACATCGTCTGACAATTCGGAAAACTGTGTGCATGGTGTTAATGATTTAAACAGTATCAGATTGGATAACATTGATATGCCGTATCGTGATAGAGATAGGATGCATGAACGTAGAAAAAAGGATCAGAGATCTAATGTCACACTGACAAAGGACTATGGGTTTGGCAACTCATGGAGGACCCGTCAATCTGGAGATATAATTAGAAATTGTCATTTAACTGATCAATTAGTGAACCATAATGGCTCTGAGCAAAGTCCTAGGAACAAAAATCTACCCGACAATAGAGTATGTCAGCGTGATAATCCGGCATTGAAAATAACAAATGGGTGTTTAAACCGAACAGCTGATCACTGTGTGGGATTTAGTCCTCTTAATGCTTATCCTCAGGAGGAGATCCATAATAATCATTTAAATTTAAGTTGTAGCGCTACTAATACTCCACTCTCACTTAATTTGACAAACGATTTGGATCGCCGTAATAATATACTAAATGTTTCAGCTTTTAATCCAGGGGACTCAAAAAGTGCAAGATTTCGCCTGAAGTTGGACTTAAATACTAGAAATAAACCAAAAAGCCCAAGAAGGATATGTTCCAAAGAAGAACTTAGTGGTGCAACTGGAAATTCTGACCTGACACGGTCTGCATCATTTGATAATGTGATTACTCCAGATAAAGAAATGCCGTCCAAAGCACTTTCGTGTGAATCTTCTCCTGTAACGATATCTAGTGGATACGAAAGTGATTCCCTGCCGACAAACGAAGCCGATATAGACAATATATTTGTCCAGGGAAAGAAAAAACAAAGCAATCGACCTGTTCCTCCAATGGAATTACCAATAGACTATTTTTCAATGTCAGACAGTCATCCATCGCCCCACGGACAACCCATCTGTACAAGTGCAATTGTTACACGTAAACCAGAAACGTTTGTGCAAAATGAATTGAATGAACAATCTCAACAAAATAAATCAATTACAGAGGAGACAGGACCACCGGTGCAGACACATCAAGAGCGAACGGACAATCAAACTCCAACCAGGTTCTCCCCCGCACAAATAAACAATTATCAACTCACAAAAGTCGCGCGTTCAATGTTTGAGATTATACATGATTTACAGGCTGAAAGGGACCAGGAAAACAAAATGAAATCTCGGAAACTAAAGCGACATGTACAATGGCGAAAAGACAGGCCAGATGTTTTAAGAAAACCTGTCAGAAACATTGAAAATGAAAGTGGTGTTAATACAAGCGTAAGTCAACAGGAAAATTGTGAACAATCTCGTGAAAACTTTCAACCCGCCCCCTTGTCGTCACAAGGGAAAGTGTCCGTTAGATGTTTGAGGCGACCTTTGGGGAGTGATCCTTCGTTTCAAAATAGACAATTTCTACCTCATAGTTCAGAGTTTGATAAAACTCTTGAATTTCCTGCAGAGTTTTGCAGATTCAACAATTCCGCTTCTTATCCAGAATTTTCAAGACAACTCAGTGAGCCAGAGATAAGATCACGTGATATTCATTCAGAAAAATTTCAAATGAATCATTCATTTGATTCCAGAGATAAACGACATCAAATTGTGTTCGAAGGTTGTGCGCCATATGCAACCACAAAACTGCCAGGTTGTTCCCCGTATGCAACAACTCGATTGCCTGGATGTCACACGCCACGAAGGGATGATAAAGATGATCATGTGTATGAAACTATTCCTGGAGATGATCTTCTGCAATATGAGGAAATTTTAAGAATGAGGTTAAATGGGTTGCTTCCGCATAAATATCACCCTCCAGCTTTACCTGCAAGAAATATAAATGACAGAAAAATGTCCGAGCCTCTTCGAACAGACTTCAATGCAAACTTTCGTTTGCAACAACACAATATCCAATCTAATCCACATTTCCAACAAAATTTGCAGAATGACATTAACATAATTTCTACCTCAAGTAATCACCGAAATCATCAAATCAGTAAACCCAGATCGTTCTCATATGATCCATCAGACCCTTCGAAAACCGTTCCGAATGAACTCTTATCGAGGTGGTCAGCTGCCGACTTGCTAAACTATATCGATGGTATTCGACAGCCTCCACCGAAAAGAAGAGAAAATTTCTATTTCTTATTGGATAGTAAACAGAAAAGAGCATGTTTTTCAGAGTCCCTCGAGATAGAAAATAAAATAAAAGACATGGGAATAAATTTGGACGAGAGCAGACGTTCACATCAGGATGAGGACGGTTATACCACAGTGGATAATGAACCTTCTGAAGCGCCGCCTTTTTGTGGGGGTTTACACAACATGCAATCAACTTATGTTTGACCCATTATTACGTGCAATCATGAATTCTTTTTAACTGCTTTTGCATGATGGACCGAATTTTTATATAACATTCGGCTAAAGGTGCAAGATTTGATCTCAAACAAATGTGAAAAATGGGCTCTTTACATACTGTTGTCGTGTAGAAAGTGCTAAATGACTGTGATTGTTAATACTTTAATTGTTGTCTGTATTTGTGATAATGTGAAAGTTGTGTTGAATTATTTAATAATTGTATTTAAATATACAAACATTAAAAATAGATATTTTCTACTTTTTATATGTATAAAGAACCAAAAATGAAATATATAAAAATAAGAAGATGAGGTATGATTGCCAATGAGACAACTATCCACCAAAGTTCAAATAAAGTGTATGTAAGCAATTATAGGCAACCGTAAGGCCTTCGTCAATGAGAAAAACCCATACCGTATAGTCGGCTATAAAAGGCCCCGACATGAAAAATACGAATCAATTCAATTGAGAAAACTAACGGCTTAATTTATAACAAAACAATTTACGAAAAACAAATATGACAAACATGAACCAACTATGACTATTTGAAACAGTCGAGTAGATATTGGGTAAACGTCAATGAGACAGCAACCCAGGTTAACCCCAACGTTCTTTTATTTTTATCTGCATCTGGTTGTCTTTATCACATCGTCACTGTGCCAAATCGTTGACTGTATACGCCATACCGTCGATGTGGTATTATTACGAGACAACAATCTCCAGAGACTAAAGGACAAGGATGAAAAAAATGCAACTACAGATAAATGTGAGCAAAACCAATACTGTATCATAGATATAGGAAGATGTGGTATGAGTGCCAATGAGACAACTCTCCATCCAAGTAACAATTTATAAAAGTAAACCATTACAGGTCACAGTACGGCCTTCAACACGGAGCATTGGCTCACGCCGAACAGCAAGCTATAGAGGGCCCCAAAAATTACTAGTGTAAAACCATTCAAACGGGAAAACCAACGGTCTAATCTATATAAAAACAAGAAACGAGAAACACGTATGAACTACATAAACAAACGACAACTACTGAACATCAGATTCCTGACTTAGGGAAGGTGCAAACATTTGCAGCGGGATTAAACGTTTTAATGGTACCAAACCTTCTCCCTTTTCTGAAACAATAGATATCAATTGGAAGGCTTAACTCAATCAAAAAACGTAAATTAACACACAATGAATGAATAAATTTGATCTGTGATATCTGAATGCAAATACATAGTTAATAAAAATTATAAGGGATAAATAATTAAGGTCAAAAGTAAATAAACAGGTTTAAACAAAGTTAAAGTGTATAGTAAGCTATAAATGACTCCGGCATACCAAATGTTTAAATATTCAAACGAGAAAACAAAAGGCCTGATAACCATGAACTGGGACTATTATACTAACTATAGCTGTTACTATAGTATAATAGTCCCAGCCATGAACGAACAATACTAAGGTAGACAGCAACCAACGACAACCACTGGATTACAGGCTCCTGGCTTGGGACAGACCCATACAGAGCCGTGTTAAACATGTTTGTCAGCGATGGACTTTGGCCCAATCTAATTAAAATATAGAACTCGGATTTCGTTATACTGCATACGTATGCAGTATAACGAAATCCGAGTATTATATTTTAATTAGATTGACTTTGGCCCTAAATTGGAACAGTGGTCTAACAGCACACAACACAAAAACAAACTGTAAAAACCAATCGGATGGGGCTTTACTCATTCCATCGCTACTTTGAGCACAAAAATACAAAGATCACAAAGTACCGATCTAAGATTATACTTGCAAGTAATAAAAGCTAGTTCAAAGCACAATTTCGACTATATAAATAAAACCATGTTTCCCAGAATAAAATATTATATCATTCAGTACACCTCTCATAAATTCAGTGTAAAAACGTCATTAGCAGTCTCATAAGAGCATGACTAAATGTGCAGTGTCTTAATATAAGTTAACTGAACTGAACACATTCCTCAAACGGTCGAATTACAAAAAATAAAAGAAAGAATTTAGTGTATTTATTTCACCAGCAGGGTAATTTCAAAATTAAGTTTTGAATCTACATATAAATTAACAATATCACAGCTTCATGTATATAGATGGTAACATTATGTGATATTTATATGAAACCTTTATAAAACTATGAATGCGTATATAAAGATTACATCTTCATAGATATTGTACAGCTGTACATTGAGGAACACAGTTGCGGGGTAATATCCACAAATTATAAAACTATACTGGACAAAGAGAGCTTACAAATACTGTCATAAATTGCCCGACATTGTCACTATTTATATGATGTATATTTTTTACTTGTTTATATCTTGCGACATAATTCATTGGATTTTGTATGTTAGGTTCAGTACTGGCTTTATACAGTCATGCAAAAAGACATCCGTCATGCAATATTGCAGTTTAACCAAAAAATCCGACAAAACCATGCACAGAAAAACGTGTATAAATATAGAATAAATTACAAACCAGATGTAAAACTCGTTTATTCCACGTACAGAATAAATTAATAAAAACAAAAATACAAAACACCAGAACAATATATGTTAATCGTGTTCAGATTAATAGAAACAAAACTGTAACAACCCCATCATCATTTCTATTTCACGTATTTTAACCAGTGATTTACAATAAAACACCTTTATTTGATTGAAATATAAATTCAGTTGAAATGTGTACTTTGAATGACACACTGCAGAAAGACTGCACAATAAGACTTATATAAGAATATAAATTGGAACAATTTAGGCGACTTTGATCATACAAAAATGTCCCTTTGCACCTATGAATCCGCTTACTTCTCTTATTGCAACCGTTTTTAATTGTTAAATAGGAAGGGTATATGGTGCAGCTCCCAGGCACTTCTTATTAATCGTAGATCTTTAATTGCTGGCTAGTCGTTTATTTTCCCACAGGTTAGGATTTATGGAACCGTTAAAAGTCACAAAGATTAGTTTTTAAATTTTAAACTCTCTAAAGAAGATCTATTTTTAATAAATATTTAATTCAATATGACCTTTTTCCGACTTATATACATGTACAAAAAAGACCTCATTAATAATATTTGTACTAACATAAGATCGCTCAAAGCAGTTATTTTTGGAAAAAAGAGAAAACTTGAAATTTGGAAAACTGCGTTCTTCGCGTAAACATACACTTTCCGCTGTCCTGCTGTATTGCAGATGGTTTTTATAATCATAATTTCTTTCAAGTTTGACTTGAAAAAGACCGACATTTATCACGAAAAACCCTGCCATATATCTTTTCTTAATAAGTGTAATACTACCAAATCATGGTACGCCGTCACATCCGGTTTCATACGAAAAAGGGTCTAAAAATTATTCCCTTGACTTTGACATTTGTAGGAAGTTAGTCCTGCATTTCATTGACATATATCTTTTGTGTTTCAAAGCATCATTCTTTTTTTATTTGGTGTTTCTATAAAATAAATATGGAGGTTACATTGGTACTAAAGCTTGTGAACGGGGGAAAAAGGTGAAAATTTGATTGGTTAACTTGCAGTGATGGTTATTGTCTTATATGCGATGAAATGTTATGTAAAATTTTATCTGTAGTACTGGACAGGATAAAACTTTACTCATGCCAAGTATTTCTTTATTTGAAACAAAGATAAATTCTGCACAATTTCTTGAAAATTGCTAATTTAACAAAGACGTATAGGGGAAACAATGGTGGTATTACTCTTAATACAAAGATGGACCAATAAACAATATATATTTGTACAAACAGTCATAATAATATGATGAAATCACATGATTTTTCCTCATTGAAATGAATACCCTTTCAAATGAATTGCATTTTTGCCTCAAATTTTGCTACTTTTTATTATAAATCTAGACCGATCATTGTCTGCTATTTTGTGATCAAAGATGGCAGAAGACCGCCACCACACGTACTACATAAGATCATTTGTGGATGTTTGTTGTCCATCGAGCCATCTGTCAAGTGTATTCAGGGCGATATAAATTTCACTTGTATTAGAACCTTAAGAGTTCACTGCGGTATTGAATATGGTCACCTGGACTTCTCCTACTTGACAGTAGAGCTAATGCTAAAGAGGGGCATCCGTTTGGCTGTGTGGAGTGTACAAATACGTAGCCCACGTCAGAGTAGAGTTCTACATTCACACTTAGAATATTAAAAAAATATAGGAAAAGTTTTAAAAGATAAAAAAAAATAAAGATAAAGACATTTTCTCTACTGCATAAGGGAAATAGTATAATAAAATGTCATCATTGGCCTAATTTTTGCATTGCACAAGGTCATGTTTTTCTCTGACTGTTAATGACGTCTTTACACTAAATCCATTGGATGTTGGATGTGTACTGATTGATATTTTAGTCTTAGATACATGATTTTTTTAATTAGTTGTTATTGGCTTTGAACTAGCTGTCAGTACTCTCAGATCTGTACTTTGTGTCTTTTTTATTGTTAGGGATGTATAAATACGTCCGGTCTGTGTTTTTGTTAGAAATTTTTCTGCTTTGTGTCGATCTGATGAGTTAAGCCCTTTTTAACTGATTTTTAAAGTCTCCCAAACAAAGTTTCTTCTTCTTCTTCTTCTCTTGTCCGCAGCAGTTCTCCAAAACCACTTGTCAGATTTACTTACCATGTCTAGTGGGGCCATCAGGGTTTTGTTTGTGCATTGGGGACAATTAAGGGGTACTTTGAGGGACCAAAAGAAGGGAGGGTTTTACTATAGAACCCTATGGGATTTTATCATTCCTATTTACAAATGATTATAACTTGAGAACAATAAGTGATAGACACATGAGGTCTTCAGTTATGACATTGGGAACATATGGCCATCGTCAAGAGTAAAAGGTCAATGGTCATTCGTGACCTTGACCTTTGACCTTGAACATTTTCTTTCAATTTACACAAAATAAAAAAAAAATGAAGAATCTGTATAATTGAAAATGTTTTACATGATAAATCAAATGAAATATAAGGTTAGTCCCCGTAGGTTACCCAACCCCCTCCCATATGAGAATGTTCTAATATCTTACAAATAGTCGAAATCCCCACCCCTAAAACATATATATATATATATATATATATCCCTGTTCATTAATGTCAAAATGATTTGAAATATATACAGGGTTAGTCCCCAGGGGTAATACCCACCCCCTGTCATTTGAATATGTTCAAATATCTTGTAAGTGGTTGAGATCCCCACCCCTAAACCATATATGTTCTGCTTTGT